AACCACACAATAACCAAATTCTGTAAACTCAGCATTGTAATCCTTATAGAGAATAAACTTTGAATTGAATTAACAATGGTGTTGAGGGTGGCAAGATTAGGGTGAGAGATGACATAAGTCGTGTCGTCAGCAAAGAGAATGGGGTTCAGGTGTTGAGATACGTTTGGAAGATCATTGATGTATATGAGGAAGAGCAGGGGACCAAGGACACTTCCCTGCGGGACTCCAGTATCAAGTGGCTGTGTTGTTGATGCTGTGTCTTTAATGGTGACATACTGATACCTATTAGTAAGGTAAGATTTGAAATATGCAAGCGCATGGCCTCTTATACCATAATGGTCAAATTTGTGGAGTAGGATGCCGTGGTCTATTGTGTCAAAAGCTTTTCTTAGGTCAATAAAATTCCTAGTGGATATTCCTTATTTTCCAATGCTGTGTAAAGCAGATCTAGCATTTTATGATTGCATCGTTAGTGCTTTTATTTTTCCTGAATCCAAATTGGCAGGGGTTGAGTATGTTTTGTGCCGTTATAAATGAGTATAGTCTCCTGTGCACGAGTTTCTCAAAGATTTTGGATAGCAATGGTAAGTTTGATATTGGCCTATAGTTGTTTAAATCTGTAGGGTCACCACCTTTATGTATTGGTGTAACCCTTGCCGTCTTGAGTAGTTTCGGGAAGGTGCTAGTTTCTAGTGACTTGTTAAAAAGTAATGAGATAGCATGCGAGAGGACATGGGCCGCTCTATTGTACAATAATGGTGGGACATGAGACAGATTCCCCGAGTTATTTTTAAGTGACTTTATAATCTCGGTGACTTCCGTGGGCTCAGTTGGAGCAAGATAGAAGGAATTTGGGAAATTCCCATCTAGGTAGTCCCCGGCATGGGCATTGGTACATGGGATTTTATTGGTGAGATTAGAACCTATGGTTGAGAAGAAGTCGTTTATCTTGTTAGCTGTGTCAGTGGGATGAAGTGGTGTTTCATTAGGTTTAGTTAAGACAATAATTCTTGGGTTTTTTCAGTTTGTGGGTCCCTAGAATCTAAGAGAGTGTTTTCCAGGTCTTTTTTATATCTCCTCTTGTGTCAGTGAATCTACTGGAGTAGTATAGTTGTTTGGCTTTCTTTATTACTTTGGTGAGAACTGATGAATAGTTTTTAAGAATATCTTTGTGTATTAGGCCCTGTCTCTATTTGTGTATTAGGCCCTGTCTCTATTGCTTTTCATACTGGTGTTTCTTATCAATGGATTTCAGAATGGTGCTGGTTAGCCATGGGCAACCAAGCCGTTTGTTTGTGATCTGTTTCGTTTTTATAGGACAATGTTTGTTGTATAGTCTAAGTAATTTGTTAAGAAAAATGTCTGTCCAGTCATCAATACCATTGGCCTTGGAGAATTCTGTAGGCCAGTCAACAGTCTCTAGGTCAGCTGTGAACTTCCTTATTGAGGCCTCATCATAGAAGGGAAGTAACCCTGGAAAAGGACTTGCTACCTCAAGTCCTAATGGAAGGGGATTCCCCTTCTAAACACTAACACCTCTCCCCTCCTTCCATCCCATCAATCATCACCAGATCTTCATTAAAGGTAAGTGTCAATTATTTTATTGTTATTGTAATTATTCTATTGCATTAAACTTAATATTTCATGTAGTAAAATTTTTTTTTCATACTTTTGGGTGTCTTCCACGGATTAATTTGATTTTCATTATTTCTTATGAGGAAAATTGATTCGGTTTTCGATATTATCGGTATTTGATGAGCTCTCAGGAACGGATTAATATCGAATACCAGGGGTCCACTGTAGTGCAATGGTACCTTATGGTACCATATGGTGCAATGGTACCATATGGTACATTGTAGCATATGGTACAATGATACCATGATTCATTGTACCATATGGTACATTGTACCATATGGTACTATATGGTACTGTTGTATTCAACACAATAAACACACTAATATTTTCATCATTATTTTGTTTACAATAATTGTTTACAACAAAAATATGCAAAAATGTTGTATATTAGTAATGTTCTATTATATATTTACAAATGTACAGCCACTCAACATGTTCCTTGATTTGGATGACAAAGCGTTTTGTCTTGGAAACTGCTGAATCACTAGCTAGCTTGCGTTGTCACTCAGTCTTGTGGCATGAACATCTCTAACTGACCATATGGTACATGGTATCATATGTTACAGGGTACCATATGGTACATTGTACTATATGGTATAGGGTACCATACAGTACAGGATACCATATGTTGCCGGGTACCATATGGTGCAGGGTACTGTATGGTACAGGGTACCATATGGCACAGGGTACCATATGGTGCAGGGTACCATATGGTGCAGGGTACCATATGGTGCAGGGTACCATATGGTGCAGGGTACCATATGGTACAGGGTATCATATGGTACAGGGTACCATATGGTGCAGGGCCATGGTGCGGTACCATATGGTGCAGGGTACCATATGGTACAGTGGTACCATATGGTACAGTGGTACCATATGGTTCAAAACCATAGAATTCCTCTTCAGATCCACTTCCATCAGTCTTAGAACTGTAAGTTGTGAAGAGGAGAGTCAGAATTCGCTAGGAGAGTGAGTGGGGAGTGAGAGCTTCCTTGCTGCCAGGCATGATGGACAAAGCTACTTCGGTGGCATTTCCCACAGTGCCATGCAGGCGTCCAGATTTTTTCTATAGTGCGCACACTGACCACCCAGACCCATTCTCTCAGATGTAGGCCTACCAGCCTTCTTGCGCTAAATTTGATGCCGCTAGAATTTTGGCGTAGATCTACGGTTTGGACCCTCAATGTAAAGCCGTAGATCTACGGCACGAACCCTGAAAGGGTTAAGTGAGCATTTAAGGAGATTTGAATCAAATGAGAAAATTGTTTTGGGGGACCTAAATGCAAAATTTTTAGTGGGAAAAACTGTTGTATAGTGTTTACTAGGTAAGTTTGGAGTGCCAGGAGTAAATGATAATGGGATGGGGTCTCCAGTGGAGTTATATATAGAAAGAGGTTTAGTAATAGGTACAGACCATGGTACAGGTGGGGTTTGAATCCATGGCAAGTGAGTCGTTAAACTCCAGGCCAGTACGTAAAACACTGGGCCAGCTGGCTACAGTAAGATTAATTTATACACCATGGGGAGGTTAGCATGGGCCCCACTGTGACCACAAATGCAGGTTTTTAGAGATGAATCTCCGCCAGGGTGGTTATGGCGAACTTTAGCTCAAGTCCCCTCAAAGTATACAAGATGTGATGTAGGGTGTGATAGTAGCAGTTTAGTGGACTGTGTATTAGTAAATAAAAGGTTGATGGGTAGACTTTTGTATGTACGTTTTTAGAGTGATGACATATTAAATCATTGTTTAGTGGTAGCTACAGTGAGAGTAAGAGGTAGATGGGGTACAAGGAGAATGTCATTGGTAGGTAAGAGAGAAGTGAAAATTTTTATATTAAAGGAGATAGGGCAAGATTTAAGCAGCATTTAGGAGAAAGGTGCACTTTAGAGAGTACAGGTAATGAGGAGGGGGGTTAGAGGAGGTATGGAGGTAAATTTAAGAATGCATTGTTAGTGTGCAGCACAAGTTTGTGGGTATAAGAGGGTGGGTACAGGAGAGAAGAGGAATGATTGATGGAATGATGAGGTAAAGAGGGTGGTAAAGGAGAAAAAAGTTAGCATATGAAGGGTTTTTAATATGTAGTGATAATAGAGAGGTTACAAGTGACGTGAGGGAGTGCAAGAGGAGAGCTAATGAGAGAGTGGGAGAGGTTTTATCAACAAGTTTTGCTGGGTTTTGAATATTGCAGCAGAGAGGAGGCTGTAGATATATTGGAGAGCAATGTGTCATGTGAATATTATACAGGTATTTCAGAGTTTGGAGATGAGGAGGTGTGGAATTACCAAAAGTTTTATTCAGAGGGCTGAGGAGGGGTTGTTAAGTGATTTGGACATTTAGAAAGGATGGAGAAAAATAGGATGACTAGGAGGGCATGTAAATCTGAAGTGGAAGGAAGGAGGGGTTAGGGTTATCCTAGGAAAGGTTGAATGAAGGAGGTAAAGGCGATTTTTGAGCACTAGGGGCTTGGACATCCAATAGGCTTGTATGAGCATGTTAGATAGGAATGAGTAGAGGCAAGTGGCTTATATGAGTAGACATGCTTTTGTAGTGTGAGCAAGGTAACATGAGGAGATTCTGGGAAACCAGTGAGCCAGACTTGAGTCCTTAAGGTAGAAAGTACAGTGCCTGAACTCTGAAGGAAGTGCAGAGATGTTGCAGTTTAGAAAGTTATCTGAGCCATGATGTTGGTGCCTTTCTGGCCTGACAGTGAAATGTTTTCTTCTTTGTCAGATCACCTACCTCAATGGGAGGCGGCCGAAGTGTCAAAAACAAAAAAAAATTACTACATCATTTCATGAACTCCAGTACTTTGGTTGCATGCCTGTAGTACCAATTTGTCTTATAAGCCAACTTATTAAACAATGAACACAAACTGTCACAAAAAAATAGATGTCACAATGGGATATATGCCAGGTAACATTGAGGGAATGGATGTAATAATTACCTAGACAAGGTAATCCAACCAATAATGCAACAGTACACCTAACATGTGCCAGCTGATCCCCTGAGAAACTGAACTGAACAATTACCTAGACAAAATAATGGAACCAATAATGCCACAATACACCTAACTGTGACCAGACAATCTAGGTTTGTATACTACCACTAGATGACTGATTACTATGCTTACTGCTGGTAAAGATGGCTTTGATGTTCTTGTTGATCTTGCCCACAAAAAAAAAATCCATACTCAGTGCACACACCACCATGTTAACTTTATAGAATTTTGAACAAGAAATACAAATGATCATTGTTACTGTCACAAACCCATTAGGTGCCGTATAAAATGCTTTTTCTCCCAAAATGATAACTACGTATTCTCTGTTTATATAGCAGACTAGCTAATGTTCTCTTTGTGTTGCAGGTGAAGAAGTGTACCGTGGCTATGTTGATGACCCACGTAATACTGACAATGCCTGGATGGAAACAGTAGCTTACAACTTTCATGAAAGTAGCCAGGATGGTATCCTATATAGTCTGCAACTGCATGCTGGAGATGATGCACAAGCTGTTAAGTGGCAGGATATTAGCAGTCAGTTAAATCTTTATGCTAGTCATAGAGACTTCATTCAGAAAGTGGCTGAAAAGCACAATGCACACTGGTGAAAAACCATGTTATTAGGATTACTAAAAGCATATAGTTGCCTATTTACATTTGCAGGGTGAACTCTAGCTGCCCTCTTTTAACCCTTTGAGAGTTCAGACCCCTGATCTGAGACTTGTCCACAGGGCCCAAGAATTTTCAGACAAAAATTTTTTTTATTTTTTCTTAAGAAATGGTAGAGAATCTTTTTCTGAAGGTAATAAAACAAAAAGTACAAAATTTGATGGAAAATTGACGAAATTACGCTATCGCGAATTTTGCTGTGTAAGCAGTATTTATGCATTGGCAATTCTGCCCACTTTGACTCTTATTTTAGGCCAATTACATTGTTCAAGTCAACAAAATTATTAGCTATTTTGCTTATATGTCTTACATTTTATCAATTGAGCACAAGAAAGTGCCCAGTCAACTATTTCAACCACCCAATAAAGTGATCAGAAATTGGTAATCGGGCCAATTTCACACAAATTTTAAAATATTCCAGTTTCAAAATAAACAATGCAAGCATTCCTGGCACTAAAATATCATTTCCTTCCTTCATTAGTTACATTTCCAGGCTTTACACATGAATTCCATTTTGATTTTTTATTCACACAAAAAATAGAAGATTTACTGTTATGAAATATTGTGATAATTGTGTAAATAATATCAGTGCCATCGTGAACGCATGTTAGCTCCACCAGTTGATGTGTGTTGAATGCATGATGTGATTTGTTTACTCTTGAACATCAGCAAAAATCAAACATTTTCCCTAATTGAGCTCATTTTCAAGCTATTTGGTCCTAAAACCAATCAAAATCATCACTATTTCTGTAATATATCTTCCATTTTATCAAAAGAGACCAACAAACTGTAAATACAAACATAAAAACAGTACAAAAATACACTGCAAAGTCGCTGCTTTTTTTTTTTCTCATTATGCACTGCGTGCTGTAGAATTTTTTTTATGTGGTGCACACTTATCACATAGACCCATTCTCTCATATTTAGCCCCAGATTTACCATTTACAGCTTATCTGCGCAAGTCGAGCTCACACCGTAGAACGACAGCACAGACCCTGGCTTCAAAGCTATAGAACAATGGCATGGACCCTCAAGTGGTTAATTTTCAATGAATTCGTATTTGTATAGCTTGTTCCACTTTCTTAGTGGCCTTACACCAAAGAAGTATTTTCCCATTATCTTAGGGACTTGGTTAGGTGTGCATTATTATGTATTATTATTATTATAATAAAAACCAAGTGGTAAAGGTTAGTTATGCAATTTCCAAATACAATCCCCATTCCTTTGTATTTTTCACTGGTAAGTTTGTCATTGTCTACACCTTGTAGTATTTCATATACACCTACCATCCGACTTACGACCGTGTTTTTTATGCCAAATTTCTGGGAAATAAGCAACTATTTGTGTTGTACACAGTGTTTATCCTAAACCTTACAGTATAAAATACAGTACTAACAACATAAAAAGTAACGTAAAACATGAAATACCAAAATAAAACAATAAAATAAAGTCATTACAAAAATGTTTTGTTGATATTCAGTAGTAAAGTTCGACTTACGACCATTTCGACTTACGACCGGTTTCTCGGAACCGAACTCGGCCGTAAGTCGGATGGTACGTGTACATGTTATTTTGATCATGATATTTTGATCAAGGATGTGTGATGTCACCGTGGTTGTAAGAGAAATAAATGCGAGGGTCTTGGCAAGAGGCGTGGAGTTAAAAGATAAAGAATCACACATAAAGTGGGAGTTGTCACAGTTGCTCTTTGCTGATGACACTGTGCTCTTGGGAGATTCTGAAGAGAAGTTGCAGAGATTGGTGGATGAATTTGGTAGGAAAGAGTAAGGTTATGAGGATAACAAAAAGATTAGGTGATGAAAGATTGTATATCAGATTGGAGGGAGAGAGTATGGAGGAGGTGAATGTATTCAGATATTTGGGAGTGGACATGTCAGCGGATGGGTCTATGAAAGATGAGGTGAATCATAGAATTGATGAGGGGAAAAGGGTGAGTGGTGCACTTAGGAGTCTGTGGAGACAAAGAACTTTGTCCTTGGAGGCAAAGAGGGGAATGTATGTATGATGAATGTTGCAGCGAGGAGAAGGCTGGAGGCAGTGGAGATGTCATGTCTGAGGGCAATGTGTGGTGTGAATATAATGCAGAGAATTCATAGTTTGGAAGTTAGGAGGAGGTGTGGGATTACCAAAACTGTTATCCAGAGGGCTGAGGAAGGGTTGTTGAGGTGGTTCGGACATGTAGAGAGAATGGAGTGAAACAAAGTGACTTCAAGAGTGTATCAGTCTGTAGTGGAAGGAAGGCGGGGTAGGGGTCGGCCTAGGAAAGGTTGGAGGGAAGGGGTAAAGGAGATTTTGTGTGCGAGGGGCTTGGACTTCCAGCAGGCATGCGTGAGCGTGTTTGATAGGAGTGAATGGAGACAAATGGTTTTCAATACTTGACCTGCTGTTGGAGTGTGAGCAAAGTAACATTTATGAAGGGATTCAGGGAAACCGGCAGGCCGGACTTGAGTCCTGGCGATGGGAAGTACAGTGCCTGCACTCTGAAGGAGGGGTGTTAATGTTGCAGTTTAAAAACTGTAGTGTAAAGCACCCTTCTGGCAAGACAGTGATGGAGTGAATGATGGTGAAAGTTTTTCTTTTTCGGGCCACCCTGCCTTGGTGGGAATCAGCCAGTGTGATAATAAAAAAATAAAAAAAAATAACCTTTGTTCTGCATTCCTTCAGGGACAAGAGATTTGGAGCTTTCTTCTGTTTTTGCCTGTAACTCAAGCCTTGCAGTTTTGGCATCAATTGGAAGGCAAACTTTTAAACTTTCTTGAGTTTTTGCTTATGTTTGGCCAATGACAGTTCCATACAATAGCGGAGTGACTTGGTATTTTTATTCAGGATTCCTCAGGCAATCCTTATAATTACCATCTTAGTATAAACTGGTGTTATTCTGTTATAGGAACTATGAGAATTCTACATACTTCAGGCTCTTCACTCATTCTACTTAATCTCACCTTGTCCCAAGGTGTGAGCTTGTCCCAAGCTTGAAATTTTTACTTTATTATAATCAAAGAAAGCAACTTACCTCTGTTTCATATCAACATTCAGCAGTCTCAAAATATTCTGTCCAATTCTCACACATCTTGAAATACAGTGGACATTCGATGCATTTTAACACAAAAATTTCGCCTCGACATTTGATGGAAAACCCGACATTCGATACGATTCGTACGAGACGTGTCCATGTGTGCCTGAACTGCCCCATGTGTGCCAGTGTTTACAAGCCAGCCAGTGTGCGCGCATCTAAGGATACATTCGGTACATTCCATATTATCACTGTTTTTGGTGCTTGTTTTTGCAAAATAAGTAACCATGGGCCCCAAGAAAGCTTCTAGTGCCAACCCTTCGAGAAAAAAAGGTGCTAATGACTATTGAAATAAAGAAAGAGATAATTGCAAAGTACGAAAGTGGAGTGCGTGTGTCGGAGTACATGATGATTTGGTAAAGAAATTGCCTGCAACTAGTGGTGATGTGAGTGAAGTTAAGGCTAGCAAAGGTTGGTTTGAAAGATTTAAGAATCGTAGTGGCATACACAGTGTGGTAAGGCATGGTGAGGCTGCCAGTTCAAGTCCTAATGGAAGGGGATTCCACTTCTAAACACCATCCACACTCTTCCCTCCTCCCATCCCATCAATCATCACCAGATCTTCATTAAAGGTAAGTGTCAATTATTCTATTGTTATTAATCTATTATTGTTGTTATTGTAATTATTCTATTGCATTAAACTTAATATTTCATGTGGTAAATTTTTTTTTTTCATACTTTTGGGTGTCTTGCACGGATTAATTTGATTTCCATTATTTCTTATGGGGAAAATTAATTCGACTTTCGATATTTTCGACATTCGATAGCTCTCAGGAATGGATTAGTATCAAATGTCAAGGGTCCACTGTACTGTATTCTGTCCCTTTTCACACCCATCCCCTTATTAAGTACCTCACTACTATTAATAAATCCATATGTTTCCTAGATTTTCTGACTTTATTTCTCTCTCCAAAGCATTTTTTATTCTCAGCCAAATTTGCTAATACATTTACTTTAATAATTCTTTCAGTTGTTTACCATTATGCATCTTTCCTATTTGCTTTTTCAAGGTTTACCTTTCATGTATCAGTTTTATAGCATGAATGCTTTTCACATTCCAACTTCTTCCTTACCATTTGTAATTCATTCCACCATTCTTGCACCTACCATGCACGGATGTGTGTACATGCGTGAACTCAGAGCATTCTTAAATTTGCACCACGTGCTTTCTTCCCACGATTGCTCATACATCTGAGAGCCTTTTCTTTAATTCATCCATTTCTCATTAAGCTCTTTGTACATCTTTCTCATACTAAAATTACCAAATATGCTCAGACAATATTTAATATTCCTTCCCCTCCCCCCATCCCACTCAGGATATAATTTGATGTTGTGCAAGAAAGATATAAAATACCGACAAGATGAATGTTAAAACATGTGCAACACCTGGTTATCTTTATTGTAGATGTTTTGCCATCCGGTGGCTTTATCAATACAGATTCTAGGACATAATTAGAAGACAGTAGAACTATGTACAAAAGATGAGGTAATCAGTCCCTCAGCCTTGGAGTTGGTGTTGAGAACACCGTGGTGGTAGACCAACACCAACTCCAAGGCTGAGGGACTGATTATCTCATCTTTTGTACATAGTTCTACTGTCTTCTAATTATGTCCTAGAATCTGTATTGATAAAGCCACTGGATGGCGAAACGTCTACAATAAAGATAAGCAGATGTTGCACATGTGTCTTAATTTGATGTTGATAAGGGACTCATTCTCCAAGGAATTAAACTTGTCCTCCATTTCTTTTGATGGAACTTTGCCTCCTATTTCCTAGACATTGTATGACCCCTTCAGGTTTAGTGTTTCCCCATAAATATAAAATACTGTTAATATTCAAAACTTAATCCTTCAGTATTATTTTTACTCATGGGGGAAAGTGCTCAATCAGTAGGAGTCATACAATACATGGGGAAAAAGGGAGGCAGTAGGTTCAGTCCAAAGAAAAGGAGGATAGGTCTGATTCTTACAGGCAGTCTATCTTTCAATGTTTTATTCACCAGCACCCAAGAAATTATACCATTATTTCCTTTTTGTGAATCAAACCTGATTGCCTTTGATTTTCCTATGCTGTATAACCCCCTACTTAAGACTACCCCATCTTCAAGAATAACAAGTCACTAGCACAGGACCCAGCAAACTGCTCCCGACATGTATGACCCCTTCAGGTTTAGCACATAATTTGATAATAATGGTCTTGACATGTATGTTTTTTACAGTCACTAACAAAATAACTTCCATTGATCATACACTTTTTTTCACATACAGATAGCTTTTTTTTTTTTTTTCCTTGAAATGTGTATTGCCTATCTATCACCAGTCTCCAATCACAAATCAATTAAAGAAAAAAATACTAACTTATTACTGGTAATTACAAGGTATTCATGGGTTTAACACTCAATTTGATTATTATTACAAGGCATTCAGTTATTAACTAAAGGAATAATAATAATATGCTGTATAATGTATTTTTATTTAATTGACTGTTGCTGTTTATCCACATGTATCAGTTTTATTGACATTTCATGCTCTGTTAAATGTAGAGAAAAACAACTTATTGTAGCTCCAAAAAACTATTCAACACTGTATTTATAACTGCACATGTATTGCAGTAAAGTACAATAATTTTCTAATGGTTTCTTATGTAATACACAATACAATGCTTGTAGTATCTTAATAGATTTTGGCTCAATTAACATGCTAATTTTAGCATAAAAATAGCCACTAAAACCAATTAGTTTTTGGCCAATAATAAACTTGCACTTCTATTTAATATTAATCATAAGCCAAGATAGTAGGGTGGTAACCAGTAAACTTACATTGAGGCACTACCTTCTTACTATTGATTATTATTATAATCAAAAAGAAGCGCTAAGCCACAAGGGCTATACAGCGCTGCAGGGTAGGGAAGGAAGCAAGGGTATTGGATGGCAGAAGGGAGGAGGGATGGTCAGCAGGTTACAGAAAACAGCAGTGCAGGGGATAGTACGGGGGTAGAGGGTAGCAAGAGTTTGAAGTAGAAAGGGCTGAAGGTATCAGAATTTGTGAAGTAAGTCGGTTGTTGTCAAAAAGTCAATGAGAGAGTCTGGATGAAAGGTGGGTCCATCAGCGAGAAGGGAAGGTAGAGAGAGAGCAGCAGAGCGAAGACGACGACGGAGGTAAATTCTGCATGCTCGTTGATAAAGTGGGCAGTCCAACAGAATGTGGCTGACTGATAATGGAACTTGGCAATTCTCACAGAGAGGAGCAGGGCGCCTCTCCATGAGATATCCATGAGTAAGACGAGTATGGCCAATGCGAAGACGGGAGAGAGTAGTCTCCCAACCTCGACACTGGTGATAAGAAGACTGCCAGTAACCTATACTCGGTTTAATAGATTGAAGTTTGTTGCCGAGCATAGTAGACCAACATTGTTGCCAACGGGTGTGAAGTTGGGAAGATATTTCAGCAAAATAGTCCGTAAATGGAATACCTCTACATGAAACTGGTAGGTCATGTACTACTGACCGCGCAGCAGTGTCTGCCTGTTCATTGCCCTGTACGTCAACATGACCAGGGACCCAACAAAAAACAATATCTTTATGCTTGGTAAAGATAAGGCGTAGCCAAAGTTGGATACGGAGGACTAAGGGGTGAGGTGTATCAAATTTCTGTATAGCCTGTAAAGCACTAAGGGAGTCTGAGACAACCACAAAGATGACACAGGCATAGATGAAATTTACAGTTTAAGTGCTGTAAGGATGGCATACAATTCAGCAGTAAAAATTACTAGCCGAAGATAGTAAATGCCCTTGTACGACGCTGTCCGGAAACACTGCTGCGAATCCTACGCCGTCAGAAGACTTAGAGCCATCTGTGTACACAGCAATGGCATGAGAATAGAGTGAAAGTGGTCAAGAAAAAGAGAGCGGGAAGCGACCGTAGACAGTTGGGCTTTCGAGCAAGGGAGAAGAAAGAAAAAGACTCGAACAGCGGGAACCCTTCCCAGGGGGGTAGGGAAAAGTGAGATGTTACATGTACATAGAAAGGTGGTAATTGAAGAGAAGACAAGAGCGAATGAAGGCGAAGAGAGAAGTAAACAGGGGCGACGAACAAATAAAGAATGTCTACTAATATCAGTGACCATTCTATAAATGGAAGGATTGCGGAGATCATGAGAGCGTACTATAGCGAAGGCAATGGGCATCACAGCGATCGGATAAAGATGGAACGTTCGCTTCTGCATAGAGGCTCTCGACAGGGGAAGAGCGAAAAGCACCAAGGCATAAACGTAATCCTCGGTGATGAATGGGGTTAAGGCTAGAGAGAGTAGCAGGAGATGCTGCTGAATAGATCTGGTCACCATAATCAAGTTTCGATAAGATAAGGGTGGAATGTAGGCGAAGGAGGGTTCGACGATCAGCTCCCCATGAAAGATGAGCAAGGGTTTTAAGAAGGTTCAGCCTGCTGTGACAAGTTGCCTTCAGAGAGGTAATGTGAGGTTTCCAGGATAACCTACGATCAAAGAGTAGGCCCAGAAACTTGACTGTATCACGTTCAGGGATACGGGAGCCATAGAGGTACAAAGGA